GAAGAACAGTCAGTGCTCTTAACTGCTGAGCCATCTCTCCAGCCCCAGGAAGCCAATTTTAAGCCATTAGTTGGGCTGCTATGGAGACCACCGTTTTCCCTGTTTTGGGGCTTCTACAGACCCACCTAGCTAGGGAGATCTTCTGACCCTGCCTGTGGTCCTGTCTTCCTTGGATCAGCATGTAACCATTCCCCTCAGGTTCTTCTCAGGCCCTTAGAGCCCACCTGTAACCTCAGCACACTGGAGGCTGGGGTCCCCAGAGCAAGCGAGCTGGAAGCTGGGTTAGTAAGGGCGGGTCGAGGTGAGGGAAGGCAGATATGTAAGGTGGAGAGCAACTGAGGAAGGAGCGCTATGTCAGCCTCGACCTCCACACACATACACGCATGTGCTCGTCCGCACACACGCGTTCTGCCTCACAACCAAAAGACAAGTTAATTAACTGAATGCCTTTTGTTGACTGCCTTGTAAAGTCCTTGTGATAGTGTCATGAGGCTTTTTAAAAAAACTTTGTGTGTGTTCACGTGTGCTGTGGTACACACAGGGCCGTCAGGGGACAAGTTTCAGGACGTGGTTCTCACGTGGGGCTCAGGAATCAAACTCAGGTTGTCAGACTTGGTGGTAAGAGCTTATACCAGCTTGTCAGCCCCAATTAGTAGTTTAAGGTAGGCTGGCCTCAATAGGTTGGTTGTTTACAAAACAGGATCTGAACATGTCCAGGATGACCTGGAACTCACTGTGTAGCCCAGGCTGGCCTGGATCTCCTGCTCATCCTGACTTAGCTCCTCCCTAGGAGCTGAGGGCTGGAATGGGCAAGGCAGGTGTTAAGAATACTGAAGAAATGGGGCTTCAAAAGGTTGTGACTGGTCAGGGCAAGGCTGAAGCAGGCAGGGCACGGCTGAGCCAGGCTCTGTAGGGCCTTCTCTACCCAGTGTGCACCAGTGTCCACTTACCAAGAGTTTTCTCAGATTCAAGATCAACCAGTAAAACAAGCTGGAATTAGCCATGGGTAGGAGACAATGTTACTGGAGTTAGGGTCAGAGCCTGGGTCCTGGCAGGCCTAACAAGTCACCACTACTTGTCTTCAATAGACAAATTAAAAAAAAGGAGCAATAGTAAAGAGAGCATAGTGGCACACACCTTTAGTCCCAGCGTTTGTGAGGCAGATGCTGGCAAATCTGAGTTCAAGGCAGACAGGGCCACACTGTGAGTTCCAGGACATCTAAGCAACATAGTGAGACCTTGTCTTGAAAACAAACAAACAAACAAAAACTTAAAACAAAGTAATAGTGAAAAGCAGAAAGATTCACTTAGTGTGGTCACCTTGGGAAAGGAGACAAAGGTCCGGTGATTCCCAAGTCCATCTTCAGGGCAGGGCCTCGTGTAGGGACCAGAGGACATCAGCCATCTTCTCCATCACTCGCACTTGATTTTTTGAGATAGGGTCTCTCCTGAACCTACAACTCACCAGCTGGCTCACTGGATGGCCTGTGAGCACTTCCTATATAAGACCACTCAGTGTGTGTGTCCCAAGGAAGAAAGCCCTTGGTTAAGCAATGAGGGCCCAGGGCTACCAGAAATGCTCTAGTCTCTGCCCCTCAGGACAGCAAGCTCTGTGGACATGCTGAGCGTTGAACTTGGGTCTTTATGCTTAAGCAGCAAGCATGTTCCCACTGAGCCATCCCCTTCCCCCATCCTAATATTTCTATCTTGGAGTGCAATATCTTACATCTTTATCTCCCAGGAGCATCAGAATTATGTAATCAAATTGCTTTTTGCCTGGGGATTGTCTTGCGAGTGTTCACTCTGTCCTTTGAGTAAGAGTTTTATAGAAAAGTGCTCATCTCAACCCGACCAGGTCCATGTACAAGGTTGGGGCCTTGGAATCTGAACACACAGAGCAGCTCCTGAACTCTGTGCATGAGAATGAGGGAACACCTGTAAATATACCCACATAGGCACACCTACTCATTATAAGCATATTTAACTCTAGAGCATTAAATGAAACTAGATTACGTAGTTTTGCCACTACCTGGGTCATTGCTTCGACTTCCTATAAAATATAAACAAGTCACCAAGTAACCAGAGCACCTACAAAACAGAACGACCTGCAGAGTCACTGCACCAACCTTGCCTCTAGACAGATTCCAAAGAGGGGCGCTTTATCTCTCCATACAGCTGTCTGTCCGTGCTGTAGGCTGTGTTTAATGTAGAAGGCCTGCTCCCTTCGGCTGGGCGTGTGGCTCAGTAGGTAGCTCTGCCCAACAGGCCTGAAGCCAGGAGTTTGATCCCCAGCACTGCACAAAGTGGGGAAAGAGGTCCATGTATTCCCAGCATTAGGAGGTGGAGGCAACATCATCAGAAGTTCAGAGTCATCCTTGGATACACAGTGATTTAGAGGCCAGCCTGGGGCACATGAAATATGTCTTAGTTTTTAAAAAACGTGTGTGTGTTTGTGTGTAAATACATACCCATGTATGTATCTGTGTAAGCATGCATGCTAGAGAGGCTCATCCGTTAAGATTGAGTTCTGGTCTTGCAGAGGATCTGGGTGTAGCACTCACAGCGAGCTCTGTGTGTGCCTGAATTCTTGTGCACGATACCCACACACAGACAGAACAACATTTAAAAATAAAAGGAGCCGGGTGGTGATGGGGTTGCCTTTAATCCCAGCACTCAGGAGGCAGAGGCAGGAGGATCGCTGTGAGTTTGAGGCCATCCTTGTCTACAGAGTGAGTTCCAGGAGAGGCTCCAAAGCTATAGAGAAACTGTCTTGAAAATCCAAAACCAAAAGAGAGAGAAAGAAAGAGAGAGAGAGAGAGAGAGAGAGAGAGAGAGTTAAGTCTTTGTTCAGTTTTAGGGTCAGGACAATGCCCTCCCGGGAAGATTAGAACAAGTTTCCTAGTTTAGGAAATTAAGAGATACAATGTAACAAAAAGCTGTCCGCCCCTCCCCCATCTCTGAGGGAAGGCAGGACCAGGAGGAAAGATTAGCACAGGTTCTTGCCCTCTTCACAGACTGCATTTCTTCAGAGCTGGGGGATCCACCTGGTCTTCTGCCTCTGACAGAGAAGATCCCTGACTGCCCAGGCCTGACATCTGGCCTCATTCAAATCTGCAGTATGTGGGTATGTGTCTCAGTGTACCCTGCACAGAACAGACACTTAGTGAACAGCAAGTGAGTGACATCTTTCTTATATCCTCTGTGACAATACTACAAAAATGTCTCATATCTGAGAGACTGGAACTTTCCCTGGAACTCACAGCCAGAGCTAATCTTACACGTGGTGATCACATAAGACTTAAGACTGTCTATTCTCCTGTGTACTCAGTCTGTTTACCCCACACTTTAGATAGCAATATAGCAGGTATGTAACAGTATAACACTTATGTGCCTCCAATTTCCCATATGACCAACTTTTACAACCTGAGCAGCGCTATAACCCTGAACTCTGTTCTCCTGGGTGTCTCTGACCCAGAGAACAATCCATGCCCATCATTTCCTGAATGCAATAAAGATAGAGGGTGGAGCAATCTTAGAAAATGTTGGACACATCATTTGGATATTGCTTGATAAACAATGATATTTGTCACAGTGAAGTTGGTCTGTTGGAGCCAATGACTGCATCCTTTGTAAAGCTGCTGAAGATATCTGTAGAGTAACCCGTTCCTTCCCTGTGTGGTGATTTCCTGCCGATCATAAAGACAGAGCAAAGCCCTTAGTCGGGGACAGACACACTGGTGGACTCAAAGTAGAGGCAGATTCACAAAGCAGCCTTCAGGCAGGCACAGATTCAGGCTCAATCAAGAGATGGCATGGGACAGAAGACACAGGGAGAGTGAAGTAGAGAATTCAAATCTTAATCCCAGCACTGGGAGGCAGAGGCAGGTGGATCTCTATGAGTTCGAGGCCAGCCTGGCCTACAGAGCCAGTTCCTGGACAGGCTCCAAAGCTACACGGAGAGACCCTATCTCTAAAACAAAACAAAAAATTAAATTAAATGCTCATAGATCACATGCTTTTGTTCAAGTCTATTTCCTTGCTGGACCTAGTGGCATGGCTGTAATCCCAGCACTTGAGTGATGGAGGCAGGAGAATGAGGAATAGAGGACTCCCCTCTGCTATGTAGTGAGCTAGAAGCCAGCCTGGGTTTCCTGATTCCCTGTCACAAATTACTAAAACAACAACATGAGTGTGAGAGGGAACAAACTAATACCTGTTAAATATACATTTATATATATATATATATATATTTTTTTTTTTTTGAGACAGGTTTTCTCTGTTTAACAGTCCTAGCTGTCCTGAAACTCACTCTGTACACCAGGCTGTCCTGGAACTAACCTTACAGAGATCCCCCTGCCTCTGCCTTCTGAGTGCTAGGATTAAAGTCGTGTGACACCATTGGGCAACTATTTTAAATTTTTTATGTGTATGATTGTTTTGCTTGTATGTATCTACGTGTGCCATGTGTAGGCCTGGTGCCTGTGGAAGCCAGAGAAAGGTATGAGATGCCCTGAAACTGGTACAGGTGGTTGTGAGCAGCATGACCACACTAGCACTGTTACAGGTGGTTGTGACCCCCATGGGAGCACTAGAATTGAGTCCCAGCTCTCTGTGAGGGCAGCACATGCTCTTAACTGCTGAGCCAGTTATCTAGCTTTTATTTATTTCGAGATAGGACTTTTCTATATAGCCTTGTATATCATGGGACTCACTGTGTAGCCCAGGCTAGCCTGGAACTCACAAGGCTCTACTTGCCTCTCTGCCTCCCAGGTTCTGGGATAAAGTTGTGCACCACCACCCCTTGGCATTTTACTTCTTTATTTGGAGAGAAGGGGCACACAGGTAATTGCATGTGTGTGGAGGTCAAAGGACTGCTTGGGGGAGTTGGTTCTCTCCCTCCACCTTGTGGGTTTTGGGGACCCAACTCAGATCGCCAATCTTGATAGTCACTGCTTTCATCTGCCAAGCCTCTTGCCAGCCCCAACGTTTGCAGTTCGAACATGACGCCCTGCACTCTGTTGGTCGGTAATGTCAGCAGGCTTTGCTCAGATGATAAAAGCCGTGGTCCACCATACAGATGGGATGAGCCAGGTTCAGACAGATGCTCAGACTTTCAGGTCTGTGGGTCTGTCCATGTCACATTCTTTCTTTTTTTTCCCCTCACACAGCCTCAGTAAGTGTCCTGCATATAGCTGAGAAAGGGAAGGCTGGGTTTTAAATGAGTTCAGCAGACACAAGATAAATGATGAATAGGTGTTTCTTAGGGAAGGACTTACACAGATAAGAGAAAATAATCACTGTGGTCTTTGTGCTCCAGAAGATGCAGTCTCTGCTCTCCTGATGCTCTCAGGAAACCAAGAGAGCTCTTGCCAGCCCCTCCTCTACCTTAATGGGTCACTTCTGCACCTGAAACCACACCCAAAGGTTGTGGCCACTACTACAAGTTCACTGGCAAGGCAAGGTGCCACTACAAGAGAGAGTGGTAGAGCAGACAGGACTTGAGACACAGATACCCAAGATGAACAGGAGCAGTGATGAGAGGGACATGTGAACAGGGACTGAAAAAGTGGGACTCCACCTGGGTCATGGCCAGACTAGGTCCAGATAGGATCTTTCCCCACATTCCTGGATCCCCTCAAATCTCCCTATAACGTAATCGTCTAGAAGTCTAGGGAGAAAAGCACAAATCATGTAGGGACTCACAGAACAACTGATGCCAGCTACACAACAGAAGGATGCTGTCTTAGTCAGTGTTCTATTGCTGTGAAGAGACACCTTCACCAAGGCAACTAATAGAAGAAAACATTTAATTGGGGCTTGCCACATAAGCATGAGTTCAAATCCAAGTTCCACAGGCACCAGCCTGTAACCTAGAGGATTCCTGGGATGGGTTAGCCCCCCAATCTAGCTGCATAGCGAGCATCAGGTTCAGTGAGAAACTCTGCCTCAATTAATAAGGGGGAGAGTGATAAAGGAAGACAGGGCTGGGTTACAGGTGCCAGCATGGCTCTATTTATTGCTGTATTTCTGTTTTAACGTGGGTGCTGTGGATTCAAACTCCGCTGCTCATGCTCACACAGTAAGCACTCTTCCTCACTGAGCTGTCTCCCTGCCTCCTACTGATGGTTCTGGCCTGTTTGTATAGCATCCAACCTTCATCAAGAGTTATCTGTGTCCAGGTATCAGTTTATAAGGGAGAACAAAGAAGAAAAATCTCAGGAGACACTAGAAAAGTACACACCCCACAGACCCATCACGAAGCTGCCACCGAGAGCTCAAATAAAGAACAAGACTGCTGTCAGGACAGAGGAGCGGGGCCAGCAGAGTCAGAACAGTGAGGAAGCCAGAGGAGATGGGGAGAAGAAGAGAAAGGCGGGGCCTGTGGCAAAGACACTTGTTCCAGAAAGTTGGGGAAGAAAATTGGCAGCCACAGCAACACTGTTAACAAGGCTGAGAAAGAAAGCGACCAGCAGAGGAGCTGTTCCAGCCAAGGAGAAGGTGGCCCAGGTCAAGCCCTCCCCCTCCTCTTTCCCTCACCACACCACACAAAGAAGGCAAAAGCTGAAGGCATCCAACTTCAAGTCTGAGCCTCACTGGGATTTTGAGGAAGACTACCGCTTGGATGTGGGGGGCCTGCAGACGGTGAGTTGGGACCTCCTCACTCCCTCTTCTCCCACACCCCACCCCCATCCCCACCCCAAGCAGCACCTTCCTCTAGGCCCAGCTTTCAATTTACCTTGAGCCTCCCTGTGCTCGGCCAACACTGCAATGCGTGAATCCTTCCTTCCTAGGACAGCCAAAATCAGGAGGGAGAGGCAACTCAGAAAGTCGTGGGTGGGAAGGGTTTGCTTTGGGACCAAGGACGAAGGCTGGGGCAGATCAGCAATCTGTGGGGACACAGTGCAGACAGTTCTGGGGTGTGGCACACGCATCCTTATTCTATGGTCCTGGGACAGATAGACAAGATGATAGCCTCCTGCCCAGCTGCTGCCCTCCCAGAACACTGGCATCCCTGGGAAGCCCTCTCAAGAACCTCCACTCTCCTCCAGGCTCAAGACAATTTCCAAACCCTCAACCCCATACCACCTCCCTGAACTCTCTCATGCCTGCCCTGGAGGGCGATGTTGAAAACCTGTTTGTGTGGATATCCAGAGAGTGAGATCATAGTCCCCACAGTACGGTGGTCATTCCACCTGTGGCCTTCAGATTTACAAGGCTGTAGCTGCTCAGGAGTTTTCTGGGACCAAGGTGGGCCAGCCATGCAGAGTTAGACAGCCAGGCATGGGGTCCAGAATGAAAGACCGAGCAGGGGCAGGAGCTTTCAAGCTGAAATGCCCAGCCCAGCCTCTGGCTGATGGTGCCCAGCCAGCCTCTGGCCGATGACTTTCTGGGGCCAGTCTCTTGCCTGACATGTGCTCCCACAAACAGACCTGTCCCGACTCTCTGAAGATCAGGGCCTCCAAGTCACCGTGGCTCCAGAATATCTTTCTGCCCAACCTGACTCTCTTCCTGGACTCTGCACACTTCACCCAGGGCGAGTGGGACCGCCTGGAGCACTTTGCACCGCCCTTTGGCTTCATGGAGCTCAATCAGTCCCGTGAGTCCTCACTTGAGGGCAGAGGGTGGCCGGCTCCCTGCGTGGGGTCTGCCCCATCCAGGACTCTGAATGGAGCCCTGCTCTGTTGCAGTGGTACAGGAGGTGGTGACCCGCTTCCGACCCGTACCCCAGCAGCAGCTGCTCCTGGCCGGCCTCCCCCCGGGGAGCTCCAGGTGCATCACCTGTGCCGTGGTGGGCAATGGCGGCATCCTGAACGACTCCCACGTGGGCCAGGAGATAGACAGCCACGACTATGTTTTCCGGTATGTTCTCCATCTCCAGCCCTCTGCCTGTAGATATGGGTCAGTATGGGAGACCTGACAAGTGTCCCCATGTCCTTATGTGACAATGGTGTGTGTCCACAACTCTGCCTCCCCTGCTCCGTCCTTTCTCAAGCACCACCAGTTTTCTCTCCTGCATTAGTTCACGCCATCCACTTGGGTTTTTCTGTGTAGACTGAGCGGCGCTATTACTAAAGGATATGAGCAGGACGTGGGGACGCGGACATCCTTCTACGGCTTCACTGCCTTCTCCATAGTCCAGTCGATCCTCACACTGCGTGGTCGAGGTTTCCAGCATGTGCCTCTGGGGAAGGTGAGAAGACAGGAATGGGCGTGGCCGCATGGCCCCTGGATGAGGGAGTCACGGAGGAGAGGTGTGGACACCTTGTGTGTGAGTGGAGTCTGGATCATCAAGAGCTCCGTCCATATGAGGGAAGAGCAGTGAGCTCAGCCTCTCAGGCCGTGGGGCAGCCAGGGTACAGTCTGGAATCAGAGGCGGGCCACACCTCCCCCCCACCCCTGGCCACAGTCCTCAAGACTGTCCTTCTGGACCACTTGCTGTGCTTGTCCCCAGGATGTCCGATATCTCCACTTCCTGGAGGGCACCCGGGACTACGAGTGGCTAGAAGCGATGTTTTTGAATCAGACCATGGCAAAAACCAAACTTTCCTGGTTCAGGTACCGCTTCCCTCTTGCCCCCAAAGAGCAGGCCAGACTGAACAGTGAGTGGCTGACTTGAAATCCTTAGACAGGAGGGGCTGCCTGTGTGCCACCTGGAGATGGGATAGGGCTCACACCATGACCCTGACCTGGCCCCCAGCCGGCCAGGTAAGAGAACGGGTCCTGAGTGATCGATCCATCCCCGACACAGGCACAGGCCCCAGGAAGTGTTCCGGGACGCCTTGGACTTAGACAGATACTTGCTGCTGCACCCAGACTTCATCCGTTACATGAAGAACAGGTGAGAGCAGAAAGAACGGAGGGGAGGGGCGGGGGCCCTCTCATCCTAGCAGTCTCCTGACGGTTGGGGACCTGGGTATTGTGAACAGGTTTCTGAGGTCGAAGACCCTGGACACTGCTCACTGGAGAATATACCGGCCCACCACCGGTGCCCTCCTACTGCTTACCGCCCTTCATCTCTGTGACAAGGTAAGGTCTCAGAGCCTGTCTCAGGGGGTGGCCGCAAATCTCTGATGGGAAGGGGGATGGGGAGTGGGCATGCGCACGCATGCGCACCCAAGGATCCTGCATCCAGACCCATCCCTAGGGCACAGAACCAGGTTAAAGGATAAAGGTCCCGTGAGGTAAGGCCCAGGACAGCCAGTGCAGCCCAGCTCCTCCTCCAATCTCCATGCAGGTGAGTGCCTATGGCTTCATCACCCAGGGCCATGAGCGCTTCTCTGACCACTACTATGATACAGTGTGGAAACGGCTCGTCTTTTACATAAACCATGACTTCAAGCTAGAGAGAACCGTCTGGAAGCGGCTGCACGATGAAGGCATCATCAGGCTGTACCAGCGTCCAGAAAATCCGAAGGAGAAGAGCTGAGCAGCCAGGCTTCAGCAGTCTCCTGGATCACACAGGGCCCGGGGCACAAGGATTCCTCAGATGTCCCCAGCCCTCTCCCAGGACTCTGACCTGCTCCAAGCCCCTCCAGAGCCCCAAGAACAGCTGTGAGACCGAGGCTTTGGCGCTCTCTGGAAAGTCACTGCAGGCTCTGGGAGTTTCTTGCTCAAACCCCACACTTAGAATTTGAGCCAAGCCTTGAACCATTCAGTTCATGTTCTCCAACTCTGTCTTCAGGATCGGGAATCGGAGACCTAAAAGGACACTAAAGAACAGATTGAGGCGCTTTGGTAGTGCGTGGAAGGAAAACAAAACAAAACAGGACCCAGCCAGCCAAACAAACAAACAAACAAACAAACAAAACCCACCCCAACAAAAGCATTATTTAGACTTAATGCCTAGTGTGGTACCAAAGGGCTTGGGATTTGTTCAAACAGTGCAGTGGCGGCTCCGGGCGACAGGGGGCGGCAGCTGAGAGCCCGAGCGCGGATTGCCTCTCCTCGGGGTGGGAAGGGGAGTCACAATGCTAGTGGTGAGTGGTGAAGTTTGGGATGAACAGAGCTGATGGCCCTGCTTTGGAGTGATTGGCAGGGGCAGCGCTCCCGCAGAGTGGAGCCGCTCCAAAGCACAACCGGACACAGGGCTGAGCAGGACGAAGTTGCCAAAGACAATGCAGCTGCCAGGGCATCCCGAGGTGCAGCTAGGCAGGGCAAGCAGGTTTGTCCCAGGTGGCCTTCAGGGAGGCTGGCTGAAGGGTGCATCTGCCCAGGGTCGCCCCTTTGCCTGTGTCCTGTTCTGGACAGCTCTGGGACTAGCAGGTGGTGTTGGGAGAGGGTCCTGCTGTGACCATGACCATCACTTCCCAGGTGTGGAGAGTGACAGTTGCGGCCCCTGCTGCCCTATCACCACAGCTTTGCAGGGGTGGCCTCCCCAGTCAGTCCCAACAGGAGAGAAAACAACAGGGCTACAGGGACATCCTTTGCACAAGTGCTTCCCACGTCCAAGCTCAGGCTAGCTGAGCCTCGTTTTGTGACTTCATTCTGCCCACCTCATACAGTGGACTGTTAACCCACCCTGGAGGGAGCAGGCAGTAGAATCAGAAAAGAGGTATTTGTTGGTGCAAGCTTGCCTAGCAAGTCTCAGGCCAACACTGAAAACAAAGTTAAATAAAATAAATGAAAGGAAACAAAGTTAAATAATAATAATACTAATAATATATTAAACGAAAGGAAATAAATTTAAATAATAATAAATGAAAGAAAACAAAGTTTAATAATAATACGAATCATCACCGTCATCACCATCATATTGAGGGCTACAGAGATAGTCCAGGGGTTAAGAGCTCACACTGCTCTTCCAGAGGTCCTGAGTTAGGATTCCCGTTTCCATGTTAGGCAACCTCAACAGCCTATAACTCCAGCCACAAGGGATCCAATGTGTTCTTCTGTGTTTTGCGGCACCTACAGTCATATGCAGACAACCATACAAGGACACACATGTCACATAATTATAAAATATAAGCCTTGTGCTGGAGAGATGGCTCAGAGGTTATGGGCACTGGCTGTTCCTCCAGAAGTCCTGATTCAATTCCTAGCAACCACATGGTGGCTCACAGCCATCTGTAATGAGATCTGGGGCCCTCTTTTGGTGTGCAGGAAGAACACTGTATGTATAATAAATAAATAATCTTTAAAAAATAAACTTTATGTACTGTGTGGAACTGTTAGCAGCATAACCATCATAAGACCTCAAAGCAGCATGCTTAGATGACATGGTGGAGCCTGCTATAAGCTATAGGTATAGACAAGGTGCTGTGTTGGCTGGTTGTGTGTCACCTTGACACAAGCTGGAGTCATCAGAGAAGAGGGAACATCAACTGAGGGAACACTGAGATTGGGCTGCAAGCAAACCTATAGGTTATTTTCTTAGTGATTGATGGGGGAGGAACCAGCCCATGGTGGGTGGGGCCATACCTGGCTGGTGGTCCCAGGTTCTATAAGAAAGCAGGCTGAGCAAGCCATGGGGAGAAGCCAGTAAGCAGCTCCCTCCATGGCCTCTGCATCAGCTCCTGCCTGAAGGTTCCTGCCCTGCTTGGGTTCCTGTCCTGACTGCTTCAGTGATGAACCACAGTGATGTGGGAGCATAAGACAGATAAACCCTTTCATCCTCAACTAGCATTTGCTCTTGGAGCTTCATCACAGCAGTGTAGCCCTGACTAAGACAGGTAATATCCAATGGCTGGAGAGATGGCTTAGACCTTAAGAGCACTGGCTGCTCTTCCAGAGGTTCTGGGTTTGATTCTCAGTACACATTTGGTAGTTTACAGATAACTGTTACTTTAATTCCAGTGGATGCAATCCTCACTTCCGGCTTCCAATCAAGTAAACAACTGCTCTTTGTTCTTGGAAAAGTTGACTCAATACAATAAAATTTTCAGTAACCACCACGCTAGTATATACACAGAATGTGATTCCAATACAAAGGGCAAAAGAGTTTTTTCTACATTGAAAACTGCCACTAAAATGACCATAGATGAATAAACAGGTAAGAAGACCCAGGAATCCAGAACAGAAAACCATCAGATAGGCCCAATTCTACCAACTACCAAGGCACACTGTAAGGGCTTTGTGATTAAAACAGTATGGTCCTAAACCATGAGCTGACAGAAGGACTGGGGACTCTAAGGTCAGATAGACCCAGGTAGCCAGGGAAATCACCCTACTAACTTGGTACTAAGGCAGAAGCAGGCAAGTCTGAGGCCAGCCTGACCTATATAGCAAGTTACAGGCCAGCCAGAGCTACATAGTGAGAGCCTGTCTCAATCAACAGAAGTTACACATGGATTGTGTGAACATAAGGAACGAAGTTACATGTCTGTAATCCCAACAGTTCGGAGACTGAAGCAGGAGCTTGTGAGTTTGAGACCAGCCTGAGCTACAGAGCAAAACTGTGTCTCAAAGTAAGTCAATCAATGTGTAAATAGTTAAACTCATGCAACGAAGCACTGGACAGCTGGAATCTCTACAATACTATATAAAGTTGGTGGTGGCACACACCTTTAAGCACTCAGGAGGCAGAGGCAGGCAGATCTCTGTGAGTTCAAAGCCAATCTGGTCTACAGAGCAAGTGCCAGGACAGCCAAGGCTACACTGAGAAACCCTATCCAAAAAAAAAAAAAATTAAAAAATAAAAATGCTATACAAAAGAGAAAAAGGTATAGATAATAGGGCTTAAACTAATAGGCTGATAGATAAAATGATCCTCCAGTTTCCTTGTGAATCTAGGTTTAAATTCTTTTTTGTGTTGTTGTTCATTTGTTTTGTTTGCTTGTTTGTTTCTCTATATAGACCTGGCTGTCCATGAAGGAACTCACTCAGGCTGGCCTTGAACTCACACAGATCTGCCTGCCTGTGCCACCCACCTGAGTGCTGGGACTAAAGGCGTGTGCCACCACAGTTGGCGGTTTTTAAGTTCTTTTATCTATGAGACTAAGAACCTGCAGAAAGGACCCTGTATTTCCTGGTAAACTATGGCATTGAGTGGAGATATCAACATGAAAAGGAATCAAAGATGGCAGGAGACTTAAAGTCCTACTGGATTTGTTTCTGTCCTCCCTTCTTGTTCTCTGAAGATTATATTCCCTGTGTTTGAGCTGTCTGAATAGGTAACTTAAGACGATGTCAAAATAGCAATTTGTCAGTAAGGGATTAATTGGAGAGGGGGATGGGGGCCCTGTGGAGGTCAAAGGAAAACCTGAGGGAGTCAGCTCTCTCCTCCTACAGTGTGGGTCCTAGGGAGGTGAGTGTCTCAGCCCTCTGAGCCATGCCAATGGCAATTTAGTCCTTTTAAAATCAAAGTTGAAAACTGAGGAAGAGGAGGAGGGGAGGGAGGAAGGAGGGGGAGAGAGAGGAGGGAGGCAGGGAGAAGGAGGAGACAGAGGAGAAGAGGGACAAGGGGGAGAGCGAGGAGGAGGAGGAGGAGGAGAGAAAAGAGAAGGGAGACGAAAACCTGCAGCAAGTGATCCCCACTGAGCTCTCTCTCCAGCGTTCATATGCTTTTCCCCCTTTCTTTAAAATCAAAGGGATGGGCGATCCCTCGGAGCACTCTGTGCAGAGGCTGAGAATGCAGTCTCTGGACAGTGGGATCTGGACCCCTGGTCAGCCCTGTGCTCTGCAGTCCTGGGCAACCAGAGATGAATTACTCCACGTGAGATGGGGGTGACCACTGTCCCCAGATCCTGGGGACAGGTGCCATAAGCACCTTTAAATATGCATATGTGCATAATAGGCTCTCTCTGTATGTATATGTTATGTGTGTGCGCCTGGGAGTATGTCTGTGCATGAGAACACAGAGGCCAGAAGAGGACAGAAGATCCCCTGGAGTGGAGTTACAGATGGGTGGGAGCTGCCATGTGGGTGCTGGGAACTGAACCTAGGCCCTCTGCAAGAGCAGTCTGTGCTCTCAACCACTGAGCCTTCTCCCCAGCCCTTCTGTTAGCTCCTACTTGGGAAGTCTTTCACGGCCCCTGGATGTGAACACGTCTCAGACATACTGCTTGCTGGTGCTGTACCAGTCACAATTTCAGAGGAGCTAAGAATGTGGACCTGCAACGGCGACTGTGTGTGGGGTTCAGTTCTCAGCACCCACATGGTGACTCACAACCATCTGTAACTCTAGTTCCAGGGGATCCATCAGCCTCATCTGGGTTCCTACAGGTACCAGGAATAAACATGGTGTACAGACATATATATGGACAAAAAGCTCATACATAAAACATACAGTAAATAAACCCAAAGGCAAAGGTATGTCTATGTACCACATGCATGTCTGGTGCCCACAGAAACCAGAACAGCGCATCTGATCTTTTGAGATTGGCATTTCAGACAGTTGTGAGCCACCATGTGGGTGCTGGGAATTGAACTCAGGTCCTCTGGGAGAACAGCCAGTGCTCTTAACCATTCAGCCATCTTCCTAGCTGCAAAATAAATCTTAAAAGCAAAACAAAAAAAATTAGAATTCGTTGCTCTTGTACATAGATTTTGATCCTATTTTTGTCTTTTTGGTTCTCCTAAAATTTAACTTTTGCATGTGTCACACACAGGCGACACTCGCACACACAAGCACATGTTGCCACAGCCACCAAACAAGCAAAAGAAGGAGGAGTGCTTTAAGAAGTAGGTCACCA